ACTGTACATCTAAATTTTTCCTTCTGGTGCTTAAGAGAAGCCATGATGTCTTCAGTATGTCTGATCTCACTAATTTTAGAGATTCATAAGCCAAGAGTCTGAAGCAAATCCTGGCTGCATTTAGTAGGTGAATTAGAAGAGACTGAGTTACAGTAAGTCACTAGCTCCATACCAAGTTTCAGCATCAGTTTACAAATGAGGTTCCAAACCCATTGCCGAAATCCCCTTAGTTTAGCCCAAAGATTTGCAGTAGAGTTCCCTCGGCAATTCCTACAGATGCCATAACGTGTATGACTAGATTTTAAGGGGGTCTATGGGGAGCTCTATATCACCTCATCAGGATATTGTACTCTGATTCCTGAAATCTGCTGGCAATAGAGGAACATCAAGAGAACAAAGGATATCATCTCTATATTCCACTGAGAAGGAAACATCAAGGTCCCCATTTTTCGAGGAAGGGTGGTGTAAATGAGTCTGAAGGTGCAATTAAAAATTGACATGCAAGAGAAAATGTTGCAATGTGTCGTAGCAGTTCAGCTCAAAGGGCCTGAGAGGGGTGAGTAAGTAACCCCTAGAGAGTAAAGAGGACAGAAAGTGAGACAGTTGAGCAAGTCTCCACACACTGAGAGGAGGGTCCATAATTGTTTTGATATCCAGCACTGTTTCTGAGCTTTGCATTGAATGAAAACTCTTTGATGCTTAACCCAGGACAAAAGCATGGTTATACACAACTGAGGTCATGAAAGCTGGCATGATCCCAGATGCAGAAATATATGCTTGTAGGAAGGTTAAGGTGGCACCCACTCAGTGGACTACTTAAGTGTGTGGCTCCTTTAAATCCATCCAGGAAGGAGGGTGAGCTCACTTCCCTCCTGACAGGATCCCAGATATATGGTGGGAGGAGTTTAGTTTGGCGAGTAGAGCCCTGGCCATGAGAAGGGTTGGGATTGATCACCTAAGCCATGTGAGTGTGTTTTGGCTGAGCAATGAGACTGTCTTCTGGAAATTTACAGTGTCTTGGATGGTTTAGAGGGTCACATACTGTAAATAACTGTAACACCCTACTAGTTAGCTAGTGACTGGCTTGTACTGGGTTCCTGGCCAATCCCCAGCAGGAGGATTGAAAGGGGCCAGGACAACCCTTAAAGGTAAGGGAGCCTGCTCAGCAGTAGGAGTAGGAGGGAGAAGGTGGAAGAGAGAGGTAGAGGTGCAGGAGCCTAGGAGGAAGCCCAGGCTAGAATATGCTGACCTCCAGGATTGATGCTGAAAAGGAGGAAATCTGTGAAATTCACTGGCCCCCTGAGAGAGGTCCACCTGGCAGCAGGGAAGGAACAGCCCAGCTTAAAGACCTGGTAGCACCCACCAACCCAACAGCAGCACAGGAGATGGACTCAATGAGTACAAATATACCCCCTGGGCCAGAAAGGGGAGAGAGAATTTGGGTGTGAAACCTAACTCGCTCTGCAGCTGGGACTATTGCCCTTCTAGTAGTAACTTCTGGATCCCTTGTCCAGGGATTCCTCCATACAGTCGGATTGGGGTTGGAGAGGTACATTGGGAGATTCTGGCTAGCTCTCCAGAAGAGGATTTTTTTTAGGCAAAAGACTTGTAATATAGCTTCAGGGCATTTGTCAGTTTCCATTCCCTTGAGCATTCCATATACCCCTTACCCTTTCCAAGTTTTAAACCCTTAATAAAACTTTAAAAAAAAGCTCAAGGACTGGTTTTGTCTTTTGGTACAAGTATGAATGGAAAATGCATGTTGCCTGGCTGTGCAGGACTATAGGGGGACCCAAAACTTCAGCGACTCCTAAGGGGGTAATACTACATAACAATGTGGGGTGTGTCATAAGCTAATCATCTTCTTTACATATCAGGATATGTTTATAACAATTATGCAAGCAAGTTAGCATTTTATTCTTGCTCTATGCTGCTAAAGTGCTACATATATACATGGATCATATTTCCTGGTACAAAAATAAACTTTACTGAAACAGCCAGTCACAGGCATAGTTCAGTGATAATGGGTATGGAACTGTTAAAAAAACTTAACAAGATAGAAATATCATCATGCCCACACAGGGCTCTGCATCATACATTATTTAGTGGGGGCCTATTTAGTGGGGGCTGAGCATCAGTGACATCTAGCCACTGCCTACATCAAGCCACTGCCTACATCAAGCCACCGCCTACATCAAGCCACCGCCTAATCGACATTAGTAAGATATCATATATACCTGTATTAGCTAAGAGTCTATACCAGGGGTCTCCAAACTTTCTAAACAAAGGGCCAGTTTACTGTCCTTCAAACTTTAGGGGGGGGGGGGGGGGGCACACTGCGATCTGGTGCTATCATGCAGCAAAACCCATCACCACCATCAGGAGCTCTGGTGAATACCTGTTAGTGCTTAGACCTCACAACTCAGGTGAGCTCATGTCATCCACAGAGTGGCCTGATTTTATACCTATGAAGCTGCTCAGTGGGATCCTCTCTACTGCTATTACTATTGGTCTCCAAGCCGGACCCCTGACTACGACAGAAAATGCATTCAAGATGGCTGCAGAAATAACTAGAACACATGCTGCTTCCTTTACATTCCCTGAGCCTATCTCAAGGACTGCAAAGTGCAGCCTACATACAACAGGCCACACAGACAGATGAGAGTATATATAATGGATTGAATTGCACAGCTGATGTACTGTCTGATAGTATGGCTCTTACCATCTGTTCCCGTCCCTCTCTTCTTATGATGCCACATATTCCATACCCTCCCTCTTATGATGCCACATATTCCATACCCTCCCTCTTATGATGCCACATATCCCATACCCTCCCTCTTATGATGCCACATATCCCATACCCTCCTTCTTGCGATGCCACATATCTCCTACCCTCCCTCTTATGATGCCACATATCCCATACCCTCCTTCTTATGATGCCACATATCCCATACCCTCCTTCTTATGATGCCACATATCCCATACCCTCCTTCTTATGATGCCACATATCCCATACCCTCCTTCTTATGATGCCACATATCTCCTACCCTCCTTCTTATGATGCCACATATCCCATACCCTCCTTCTTATGATGCCACATATCCCATACCCTCCTTCTTATGATGCCACATATCCCATACCCTCCTTCTTATGATGCCACATATCTCCTACCCTCCTTCTTATGATGCCACATATCCCATACCCTCCTTCTTATGATACCACATATCCCATACCCTCCTTCTTGCGATGCCACATATCTCCTACCCTCCCTCTTATGATGCCACATATCCCATACTTTCCTTCTTATGATGCCACATATCCCATACCCTCCTTCTTGCGATGCCACATATCTCCTACCCTCCCTCTTATGATGCCACATATCCCATACCCTCCTTCTTATGATGCCACATATCCCATACCCTCCTTATGATGCCACATATCCCATACCCTCCTTCTTATGATGCCACATATCCCATACCCTCCTTCTTATGATGCCACATATCCCATACCCTCCTTCTTATGATGCCACATATCCCATACCCTCCTTCTTATGATGCCACATATCCCATACCCTCCTTCTTGCGATGCCACATATAATCGCAAACACCACAATTTTCTTTTCATCTGTTTTACAGTGATTGTCAAAATACCACCCTAAGAGAGGGGCATTCTTCCCACTGGCCATGACTGAATTGCTTTTATCAGGGTTTCCCCTAGATCTTAAAATTATAACAAGGGTTCCGCTGGGGTAGAAAAGTTGAGAAAGGCTGAAACTACATGCTTATATGGTTAGCTTTTATTAATTTATTCACTACCCTCTCCCGGAGTTGTCCGAGAGTGGCTCTGATGCTCCTCCATAGAATGGAGCCACCCTAAGATAGGAAGTGTATTAGACTGGCTGGATCACCAGGTAAAAATGAAAGAAATGAAAATTAATTCAAAGACCACATTTAAGGATTGTAAAGCTGTAACATATCAAAATTTAGTTGTTGGGTTTAAATGTATTGTAGCATTTGTAGCATATGTTACTGTCCCAAGATTCTTTGGAGAAAATGAGTGGGCCACATTTATCTTGGAGTTTAGGAAAAAAAAAAAAAAAATTCAGTATTACTTTGCAACTCCTCACTCCTGGCATTTGTAGCTAATACTAAATGGCTAGAAGGGCAGCTACAAATGTGGTGTGAGAAACTGTGATGCTTGCGCAAATATGTGGCATCGTAAGAAGGAAGAGACGGGAACAGATGGAAAGAGTCATACTCTCAGACAGTTCATCAGTTGTGGAACCAAATACGTTTTTTAAAGTGGCAAGGAACACCTTGGAATTACTTAGTTTGTCATAAAAGGTGATTGGATCCTGATCTAAATCACAACAAATATGCAAACACAATGGGTTTGATTTATTAAAACTGAAGAGTGCAAAATCTGGTGTAGCCATGCATGGTAGCCAATTGGTTTTTAACTTCAGCTTTTTCAATTAAGCTTTCAAAATAAAACCTGGAGCCTGACTGGTTTCTGTGAAGAGCTTCACCACCAGATTTTGCACTCTCCAGTTTTAGTAAATCAACCCCAAAGTACTTAAGAGGATAACACACAAACAATTCTAATTTTAGTGTCTTTATTGAACATACCCATCAAAAGCATTCACAGTTGTGGAGGAAAATATGAGTGAACCCTTAGAGATAATATCTGGTCAAACCTCATTTGGAAGCAATGACTTCAATGACATTTGGTAGTTCTGGATCAAACCTGCACAACATTCAGGAGGAAATTCTGACCGTTCCTCTATGCAAAACTGCTTTGGATCAGACACATTTGTAGGATGTCTGGTGTGAATGGTCCTCTTGAGGTCATTCCACAACATCTCTATGAGGTTAAGGTCTGGGCTCAGACAGAACCATTCCAAAAGGCACTATTTTTTTCTGAAGCCAGTCTGTGGTGGATTTACTTTGACGCTTAGGGTCATTGAAGAAATGTTTGATATATAATAACATAATGCAAATTTATTTGTTGCATCTTAACAATAAAACAGTTTTTATTTTACTCATTGCTGCCTTCAAGGCTATATGAATCTCCTGATTCCTTAAAGTATAAATGATGGGGTTGATCATTGGTGTCACCGAAAAATATGTGAAGGACAATCCTTTGTAGACATTGAGATATTGATCACTCCTCGGCACCCCGTATAAGCAAAAAAGCGCAGTGTAATATATAGTCACTACAAGGAGGTGGGAGCTGCAGGTAGAGAAGGCTTTCTGCCTTCCCTCCGACGTCTGTATCCTGAGGATTGTGAATATAATAAAGATATAGGACAGAACAATCAATAGGAACGGTAAAATGGTTAATGTAATACTGACCGATAAACCAATTAAAACAACAGGTGTTATGTCTGAGCATGCAAAGGAAACGTAAGGGGTGAAGTCACAGTAAAAATGATCGATGGTAACGGGGCCACGAAATTCAAGATTTATTACAAAGTAAAATACAACCACAAGGAATATCAATGAAATGAACCAAGACGTGGCCACCAAATAGAAGCAGAGTCTATTGTGTATGAGAACAGAGTATCTGAGAGGCCTACAAATGGCCAAATATCGGTCGTATGACATCAGAGTGAGCAGCAAGGTTTCAACAATTGTTATGGATCCAGATACACTTGACTGGACAGAACAGCCAAGATGGGAGATGGTGGGTCTTCCTGAGAGAATGTGGTGCAATATCAGGGGCACCAGATCTGTCGTATAGAGAAATTCACAGAGGAGCAAATTACCGATCAGGATATACATGGGACAATGGAGACGAGAGCTTATACATACTAAAAATATAACCATATGGTTCTCAATGCAAGTCAATGTGTATATGATCAGTAAGAGAAGGAAGAGAGGAATTCTGTAGTCAGAGAGGTTCTCAAATCCAACAATCAGGATTTCCACATTGAGTGTTTGATTTTTTTGATGTGCCATCTGTGAAAGGAATTGAATGACTGTTATTAAGCTGTAACCTACTAGTCATAGCAATCTGTCTGATAGTGACTGGTGTGCTCTTTAAAGCCCAATAGAAGGTGTGTGGGACCTCTGCAGAGGAGCCGCTGCTTCAACTTGAAGAGCAACGGTTCTTCTCTCCAACATGCTTGCAAGGGCCAAGTTTTTCTGCTCCACTGTAGCTGCTTTCTAAAGAAAGTAAACTGTAAATGTTTGGACAATTTTTGTTTTAATGCACTTAAATATACATAGCCCATGTAAGCCGTAAGTCCTATTGGGGTTTAAAGTGGATCTCCAGCCAGACAGCAACATACAATTGGAATACAGCCTGTATATCTGAGCCATTTCATCAATCCAAATAATTGTAATTCTGCCTTCTCAGCTGATACGCTGACTTATCATTAGTCTTCCTACTCATGAGCCCAGCCATTGCTCATTTTCCTGTCTACCCTAATTATTCATTGTCAAGTAACCATGTTCAGCCAATTTCTTCCTTATTGTACTTTGTGCCCTGGAATCGTACATTGTAAGCTGGTTTGTGCAGGTCCTCATCTTTTTCTTTTCCTTGATTTTGAACATATTTTTTTGAATAGGATTTACTGAAAATTGTATTTAATATGATCGTGTGATGAGCCATGGTTTCTCATCTTTAGTGGTTTCTTCAATTGGCTGTTTTCTGTGGATAGGCTGGAACGTATGACAGCCTGGGTTAACAGGAAATGGATGAAATAGCAATGACCAACATTCAACCAGATGGAGGACTGGTGGAAAATGATGGATGATGGAGGACTAGCCAGAGACTCATAGTATTTTAACCAGTTGTAGGCATTCAGCAAGCTAAACATCCTCAAAAAAACATCATTCAAGTACACAGGGTGCACTGTTCACCCCCCCCCCCTATATGTTGCCCCCCTTGCATTTGCCAGGATGTTATGATCTGGAGTCAGGCTTGGGGACCAGAAACTATAGCAATAGTGCCTGCTGCAAGGCTCACCTCTGGCCTATGGATTGAGGTTTTCCTGACACCCCAATAGGAGCCGACCTGATTCCTGGAATGAGACCTCCTGTCTCCTGGCTGGGAAACCTCTGACCTTTGGGTGAGACCCTCTTTCTCTTGACTCCTGGCTGGGGCACCTCTGACCCCATGGTGAGATCCTCTGTCACGTCAGAACTACAGATTCCAGAGAAAACTAAAAACAGCTTTTTCTGCTCTGACGCAATAGTCTGGAACCTCTCATTAACCCTTAATGTAAATCCTGTGTCATATTTTCCTTCAATTTCACAATGACAAGGTCTTGCTCTGTAACTATATACAGTCATGGCCAAAAATATTGACACCCCTGCATTTCTGTCATGCAATGCACCACTTCATTCAGAAAATTGCTGCAATTACAAATGGTTTGGCATTCTCATGTTTATTTCTTTTGTTTGTATCGGTATGACACAAAAACGTGAAGAACCAAAAAGCCAAATCTGAGACAGTCCACTAAAAACCCCCAAAATGGACAGGACATAGTTATTGGCACCTTCTCAAACTTGTAAGAAATAACTGCTTTCCAAGTTGGTGATTCTCCTTTAATTTGTAATTAAACTCACCTGTATCAATGAACAGGTGCTGACAATATAGAAATCACAACGGCAACCAGTTAAAATGGTGAAAAATGGACTTTCTGTTGTATTCGCTGTGTGCCACATGGAGCATGGAGAAGAAAAAGAGCAGCAAAGAATTGTCTGAGGATTTGAGAACAAAAATTGTGGAAAAGCATGGACAATCTCAAGGTTACAAGTCCATCTCTGGAGATCTTAATGTTCCTGCGTCCACTGTGCACAACATTGTCATATAGTTTACAGTTCATGGCACTGTAGCTAATCTCCCTGGATGAGGAAAAAGAGAATAATTGATCAAAGATAGCAACAAAGGATTGTTCGAATGGTGGATAAAGAACCTCGATGAACTTCCAGACAAATTCAAGCCGACCTTCAGGCACAGTGGACAACTGTGTCAGCTCACACTAAACGTTGCCATCTGAATGAAAAGGGTCACTATGGTAGGAGACCCAGGAGGACCCCACTGCTGATACAGAAACATAAAAAAGCCAGATTGGAATTTGCCAAAATTTACCTAAGGAAACCAAAATTTGTTTGGTACTCTGGACAGACAAAACAAAATGACAGCTTTTTGGTAAAGCCCATCATTCTACTGTTTTCAGAAAAAGCAATGAGGTCTTTAAAGAAAAAAATACAGTCCCTTCAGTCACACATGGTGGGGGGGTCACTTATGTTTTGAGGTGGCTTTGCTGCTTCAGGCACTGGATGTCTTGACCGTGTGCATGGCATTATGAAATCTGAAGACTACCAAAGAATTCTGTGGTGCAATGCAGGGCCCAGTATCAGAATGTTGAGTCTCCATCAGAGGTCATGGGTCTTACAGCAGGACAAAATCACCCAGAATTGGTTTCAGGCAAAGCGCTGGAGAGGACTGAACTGGCCAGCGATGTGTCCAGATCTCAATCCCATAGAACTCCTATGGAGAGATCGCAAAACAGCAGTTGGGAAAAGGAACCCTTCCAATCTGAGAGACCTGGAGCACTTAGCAAAAGAAGAGTGCTTCAAAATTCCATCAGAGAGGTGGAAGAAACTCATTAATGGTCACAGGAAGCCATTGATTTCAGTTTAATTTTTCCAAGCGATGTGCTACCAAATATTAAATTGAGGGTGCCAATAATTTTGTCCAGTCTATTTTTGGAGTTTTGTTTGGAATGTGTTAAATTTGGCTTTTTTGTTTCTTCACTTTTTTGTGTCGTACCAATACAAACAAAAGGAATAACAATGAGGATGCCGAAACATTTGTAATTGCAACAATTTTCTGGTTGAAGTGGTGCAGGAGTGCCAATATTTTTGGCCATACCTGTACGTATGTGTACAGTATATACACTGCTCCAAAAAAATTTAAATGAACACTTTTTAATCAGAGTCTAGCATCAAGTCACAGTGCACTGGGTCCTGGGTTCCTCCTGGTGCACTGGGTCCTGGGTTCCTCCTTGTGGCCGGCCTCATGTGGCAAGAGTATTCAGGCAGTTCCTGAATGATGAAGGAACTTATACCATTGAATGGCCCCCACGCTTGCCTGACCTAAATCCGATAGAACGCCTCTGGGATATAATTTTTTGGTCCATCCAATGCCACCAGGTTGCACCTCAGACTGTCCAGAAAAATTCTAGGTAGGATTTTTTGTGCATGGGCTTTGAAAGAGGCTTCCATTGTGGATGACACCCATGTATGCCATTCTTCTGCAGTGTACACCATGTTGTGTCGCAGGAAAGTCACCCCAGTTTGGCTTTATACTTCTTTATCTAACTGCAATCAACTTTCATGGTGATTTTCTTCAACCCTTCTCATCAGAAGACACTCCTGTCAAGGTATTAACTTCCATGGATAGCTTGGATGTCTCTGTGAGAGGGTTGCAGTTCCATCTTTGTTAAGTTTTTGTATCACTTTTGCTACGGTATTCTGACTGATAAGTAAAGCTTTGCTGATCTTCTTGTAGCCTTCACCTTTCTTGTGTAAAGAAATTTTCTTTCTCAGACATTTCTGACAGTATGAAATGGGATTGTGAGGAAGATGCTTGCCATAGTGCACAGCGGCTCAGGCACAGATGTGCGAGGGCCCGTTATGCTACATATAGTCGCGTGCATTTGCATTCACGCGTGCACACATGCGACAGCCCGTTGCTAATGTTGGCACCAATCAGACTATTTAAACCCAGCAGCACTATTAGCCTGTGCTTTCTGATCTGCAGCTCCCCCTCCTGTATTCCTGTGGATGTTGCTGTGATTGACCCCAGCTTGTTTCTTGGACTCTGCCTCTGCCTTCTGACTCTGCCTGACCTGCTCCCACCAACACTGACCCTGGCTTGTGTCCTGACTATTCTTCTTTTTACCATTTATGTCTGATCCGCTTATCTGTTACTGACCCGGCTTGTCTGACCCTACATACAGTCTGCTACCAGCCTACTCCACTGCCTGCCTGCTCTGCTATCAGTCTGCTCTGCTGCCAGCCAGTCCAGCCATCCCATCTCCCAGCGAAGTGCCAGCAATCCCTGCACAGACCACAGGACTGAGCAGGCACTCATACCCCACCGTGCTCTTGTGGTTGCTGTTCCACCTTCAGTGGCCCTCGAACTGGAGCTGTACGAGAGGCCTTCCTCCTGCTATCAGGCTCACAAGTAAGGTACGTGACACGAAGGGCTTTTCTTTGTTAAGTAACGCCCTTTTATAATCACCTGTCTGCTCTGTTTAATATATAATTAGACTCACTTGGAGTTGAATTCTTGTTCATTAGGATTGTGTTGTCTAAAATTTAGCTTTTCTCCTAAGACTTTCATTGGGGTGTATTCATTGAATGAATTTGTTAGGGAAAATAATTTTTGTGTGCAAATTAACAAATCTTGTTTGCAGTCAATGGTCCACATTTGTGGGAGGATTTTGTAGTATAGTGTCCTATAGAAAATGTTGATTCTGAAAGGAAAGTAAAATGTTTTCTGACATATCTGTTGGGGTGTACTCATTTCTGCTGAGCTCTGTATATGATATACTTTCCTATCTATTTACAAATGCTGGCGGCATAATGATTAACAATAGTCAGTGTTGACTGAGAGAGTGCAGTTACTCTTTAAAGGGGATCTTCAGTCTTAACAAAAAAAAAGTCAACAGCTACAAATACTGTAGCTGCTGACTTTTAAAAATGGACACTTACCTGTCCAAGGATCCAGCACTGTCTTCACCCAGGCTGGTTCTTCGTTGGTCTTTGGGTCCCTGGTACCGGTATGTTTACTAAGGGAAGCTTTGTAGTTTCCCAGCCTACTTCACACTGTGCATACACAGCTCATACTGTGCTGCATGAATGGTTCAGCAGCCTCCTAGGACCTGTGACATCTCCCAGAAGGTTGTGGGCAGGGAGAGGGAAGAACTTCTGCAGCTCCA